TCAGAAAGTGGCGCGAATTGCATCATCCTGTGATTGTGTTTACATCTTAAACATGTTTAGCACAGAAACGTTAGTTACTTGGTAACTCCAAACTCTTATCTATATCAACATGTTTAGATCCTAAACATGTGAAGTTTAAACGCGTTTTGTTCCCTTCGCGTTTAGCATGTAAACATTTTCTTGAACATGTTAAACCTAAACATGTATATATTGTGTTCAAAATCTATACATCATTTTTACAGTGTAAAGAGCGCATGTTTTAGTTTCAAAATTAGAGTATTTGTATTAAGAACATCGGTATAGAATTCATTAAAAACCAAATGAAAAGTAAAATTTCTTCTTCTTCTTCTTGATTTGAACATATTTTATTGCGTAACACAAAAGGATTAGAAACAAGTTCTTACAACTTGCAAGTTCTTCTCCTGGTGTTAGTAACATTAATACAGTTAGTACAATTGTCACAATAATAACATAGTAAATAATACTGGCAAGTGACATAAATAAATTGAAATGTTAATTAAATCTTCCAGATTCATTAATAAATTTATGAACTACTGAGAAAATAAATCTTCTTCTTCTTCTACTTCTTTTTAAAAGAAATCTTTGTTTCAGAGAATATAAAAGATTGATTGATTGATTGATTGATTGATTGATTGATTGATTTATTTATTTATTTATTTATTTATTTATTTATTATTTATTTATTTATTTATTTATTTATTTATTTATTTATTTATTTATTTATTTATTTATTTATTTATTTATTTTAAGACATCTTTGTTTCAGAAAATGTAAAAGACTTGGAATAAGATTTTTTAAAAAAATGCTGAAATCTATATTTCCTTTTTTGAAAACCAAAAAATAATTATGGAGAAACTTGTCAATTAAAGAACTTGAGATATCATGCGATTTTTTTTTCTGAAATATCGTGATGCATCGGATGTTAATTTGTAATTGGGATTTCAAATTAACATCTGTTGCTTGATATTTCTTATTATTTCTTATTCAAAACATACACTGTATACGTGAACTGACGCTGTAACAATAAATTTATTAATATTGATTTAAAAACAACAACAAATCCCATCCCCAGAGGATGGAACTTGAAAGGGGACGAAAAGTCTGGAGGATATTATATAAGTCGTGTCAGGGAATCAGTGCCATAAGGCTACTTTAAAATGTAAATAAATAAATAACTCCATTTCCCCTAAGTGTAGAATCCACATCTTTACAAAGTCCAATTCAGTCACGTAGTATGGGGGGGGGGGGGGGTATTCCTTAATTTCCTGATAATTAGTATGGACAGACCCCTCCCCCCCCCCCCCCCCCCACACCACCACCACCATTTTGTCAAATCTTCCCAAATTAATGTAATAATGTTTTTTTAAAATCTTTTCTTGTTGAATAGAGTTTTAACGTCCCCCTTCCTCTTGAAATATATATATATTTTTAATTGGGCAGTCTGAGAGGGGGAGGGGGCTTGTCAAAATCTTGTCAGTTATCCCAGTTAGCACAACAACGTTATTAAAACGTTATAAAAACGTTATGAAAATGTTATGAAAACATTTTCTAAAACATTATTACAACGTTATTTTGTGTGGTTTTTTAAACGTTATTATAACGTTTTGCAAAAATATTGTACTGAAATGTTTTAAAAACATTTTTAAAAACGTTTGGAAAACATTTTTAAAAACGCTTTGAGAACATTTCTTAAAACGTTTTTAAAACATTTAAAAAAATCAATTTTACAACATAATAAACAATATACATGTATTTCTTATAATTTAATAAAAAATCCATTCATTAATGTTGTCTAAACGCTGTTTTTCAAACACCTGCACAATAAAATTACAGTCTTCCTTCAAATGAAATTTGTACTGTTTGAAATACGAAAAGATCACAGCATCCTTATTCCATTAGAAATTAATCTGTTATACACTTGGACTTCTCTATTTTCTTCTGAAAAACAAAGATTTGGACATAAAACTTTGACTAAATGATTACCCATTCATACTCGTAAATTTCTTTAAAGTTAAACATATCCATGTTATAGGGCATCTGACAACTAACTACACATACTAGCATATAAAAATCTGATAAACACAAAGAAAGTATGTTTTGTTATACAGTTGTATTATTAAACAAAAATTTACAGGTGGTAATATATCTATATATTTCTGACAACCAACTTCAAACGTACCTTATCATACTTAATAATCCCTCCAGAAAGGTATGGATCAAACCTCTTCGTCCCACCTCTCATTAAATCGTTAGAGATTGTCTTCGATGCTTTGTAAGCCTTGTAAGCAGCAGCTACTAAAATGTAATGTGAAATTCATTATAAGAACTGTAAATAAGTTAATTTATAAACATATTTAACAAAGGCATCGGAAGCAATTTAAAAGTGGGGGGGGGGGGGGGGCAAAACCAACAAAAACGTTGGGGGGGGGGGTAAACCCGAATTTTCACTAACTCTATTACGTCTATCTTTGCAAAAAAGTTGGGGGGAGGGGGCGTAGACCCCCTGGTTCCGACGCCTATCTTTAATAGTTAAATGAAAACAACACAGCATTACTAGTACTTAGATCAGTTTCCTTTTGCTGTATACATTTTCCAATGATTTTTAAGTTGATATTTTAACATGATTTATAAGTTGATATGTTAACTGAATCTTAATGCATTTTCTTAGCATTAATGGTGATAAAACTTACTCTTAATAATTCTTTAAAGGGGTGCACTTTTCAACCCTCTGTCCAGTCTCAGTGAACTGACCCATGGAATTTGTTTGCATCATTGTCCTGCATATCTCCGCCCTGCATTGAAACCACTGCATTCACTAAAATGAGTGTTATATTTTATCATGAAGAATGTGTATTTCAAAATTTGATTGCTAGCAAATATATAATCAAGCCTGAGATTGATTAATTAATTCCTCTCCTTTCCCTTCCAAAAGAAAATAGGTTTAACGTACGTGGCATTGTATTCTGTAATACATAACTCAAATTCGGAAAAGTCTAACGAATCCACCTCTTAATAATTATTTATCCCTGTCTTGTTAAGGCCCCCTCCCACACCCATTCCTATACCCAACTATGTTTTAATTATGTTTTGAAACCCGTCAAACAGTTTTAATACATGTAAATAAACCCAAGTTTTCAAACAACAAATCGCCCGCCAAATTCAAATGCCGATGAACTTTATAAACATATATACACCTAAGTCTATGAGAATGAAAGATCTAAGATTCTAAATGCATATGTATTTACAGCTACAATATGATTGCTAAATATACATAATGAATACTATTTAAAATTTAACATACCATATGTTGACATTTGTAAGATATTCCTTTTCGTTGTCTTACAAGAATGCTGTAGGGTTTTTCAAAACTGTGATTCTGTTGACCTATATAGATCACATGGAAATAGTTTGCAACAAGGATCGGCTGCATCAGCACTGGCCATGGCATCCCGCTGTGTCACTCGATTAACTCTCGATAAAAACATTATTGAAGGGGGAACTTAATTCCCATAGCACAAATAAATGACTCCACTGAATTATTTAATTCAGGAACTTTGTTGAACAAATAATTTTTTGGAAATTTTTTTACTCTCCTTGTTATATATAAATATTTCTTACAATGGTATAACAGAAAAATATGAACACATTTCCGTGTTGTTGTTGTTTTTTTTTAATTTTTGGGGTCTGAATTTAATTATCACAACTCAAAATCAATCATAACTCAAACTCTGGAGCTATTTATAAGAAAACAGAAATTTTATTCATATACATGTAACGTCTTACACTAAGTAATTAAAAACTTCTGCTGCTTGGAGTTGATATTTCTGTAACGTTTTTACAATGTTTTGCAAACATTTTAAGACAATGTTGTATTCATGTTGTCTGGTAACATTTGTATTTCATGAAATTTATAATAATTATTACACAAGGTATTTTTTTTAATCATGCTATTCAATTTATACTGCGCGATATTTTATCATTATAGAAATTAATGTTAAATGCTAAATGTTTTCTGAAAACCTCCTTGCAACAGGAAAAAAATATTATGAAAAACATTTTTAAAATGATTGGTAAGAACGTTTTTAATAACGTCTTTACAACCAAAATAAAACGTTTTAAAAACATTTTTTAAACGTTTTATTAAAAACGTTTTCAGATAACATCAATACAACGTGAAAAAAATGTTATGAAAACGTTTTGTGCTACCTGGGATCTTTCTGACTGACCCCCACTTTGAAAAACGATGCTACGTGCCTGTGATTACAAGTTTGTGGGTAGTAGGGACAATTTCTTCAGAGTCCAAGGATGTCCATATCTATACATGTAAAATGTTACGTAATCCTTATTATTCATGTGCACGTCTTGTTCAAATTATTATGGTATTAGCACAGATATATATAGCTGCGTGTATAAGGGTTGTACATAAATCTAAAAGTGAGCTAGTCTGAGATTAAATATGACATTTTTCACTTGATTTCTATGTTTTCCTGGAGATTTTTTCTTCTCCTTTTTTTTTAATGTTTGAAGTGATTAAAATGTTTTCTATATATATTATGAGTTGTTACCTCGCCTTAATGCCTATAGCTAGACTTTTTCAATTAAGATAAATGTTTTGCAACTATTTTATTTGTAAATTTTTTCAAGTTACAGAATTATAAAAAAAAATGGGGGGGGGGGGGCAGAGCTCTCAGACATCTCTTAATGGATGTATCATTTACAATTTAGAATTTTTGACGAGGAAACCCAATTCCTGCAGCCGATTACGGACGGGATGGCTGTTGCAAGAAAATACCCATTCCTGATCACTGATGGAATAGATATTCACTGGGCCGGAAGGCGTGAAAAATTTGGATAATTAATATTTGTCCGCCATGCATTGTAGCCTCAAATCTGTCTCTGAGACCCACTTTCTGGACCCCCCCCCCCAAATAAAAGGACCAAAGTAAAGCAAATAATCACTTAAAAGCCAAAACAACAAATCAAAATAAAGGAGCCCGTGTGTCCTCTCTTTGGTACCAATCTTTCGGAAAAATGAATTTGCAAATATCAGAATAATTGTCCATATATATAGCTAAAGCATTGAATCAGGAGTTAAATTTATTCGGCAGTAAGGTTGATGTATTTCTCGAGCCTCTCCATCTCCTTGTGGGCGACATCGATCTCTTTCTGGATACGGACCTCCTCTCTTTTCTGTTGAGCCCGCTCCTGCTTCTGGGCCTGGGCCTTCTCTTGAGACTCTTTCATACGAAAAAGAATAAGATGCGTTTCAGATTGGCAAAATAATTTAATATATCAGGAAAAACCATAAACGAAACAAAATAATATAATTTTTGATTCCTCCCTTCTTTTGTACTAGTTTCGAATTCCCTTCTACATCAAGAATTTGACTACTATTTGAGAAAGGTATTGGCAAATGTCAGGACAATGCATGCATCCATATAAAAAATTTTGAATTTATTAAATTACCAAACCAGAAAATGAATAAATTTGGCGAAGATACAATTCTCTTTAAAGAATTCAGTATAAATTATGGCAAACCATGGAAAGCTGAATAAAGACATTCACTTACCTCGCCATTTCTCAAAGTTCTCCTTTTTGTTCTCGAGTAATCTTGGTGGAGGCATCTTAGGAGTTTCCTCAGACACAAATGTAAGATCAAAAGCCACGCCACCTTGCTTTTCTGTCACTTCCTGTGTGACCATTGTTTTTCGTACTTTCTCGTACGCTTCCATTTCTTCGTTCATCACGCCAACTTTATTATTTCTAGCAAAACAGCTCTGAAGGAGACCCATGGTCTTTTCAGTGTGTTTTTGTATCTAGAGAGACTATTATGACGTCATAATAAAATGTATGATTTTTACGTCACAATGCTTTGTAAAAGTCAGGAATGTGAAAATAAGGTTGAATTTCAGAAAGTAAAAAAATCATGGAAAGTGGAAGAAAAAATTAATTTTATTATATACTCTATTTATAGAAAACTGTTCCTATACATGTATAATTATACAAACGAAAACGGTTCATAACATTATTTATTATACCTATACTGTAATTACTCTATATAAAATGAATACCATTAAATTGTCTATTTCCCTTAGAAGGCACAACTCCCCCCATCTTTGAACTACTCCCTGTAAAATCAGAGCTACTCCCTGGGACTACCACCTCATTAATATTCATTAGTATTTTTAACCGATCAAAATGTTCAGTGGGCGGAGCGTTAAAGGAATCTCGAGTCTTATTAGCAATGTACCCATGACGTCAAAATATTGCAACATGCGAAGTCAAAATCAATACCAAATGACGAGCACGATAATTCTTTAAAATATCTGTGATATTATTTTATTTTTTAAACTTGTTATTATTTTCCTCAATATTGATGTATTAGACAGGCCCGTAGGAAGCAATTTCACTTTGAGGGGGCACAATCATACATTTTCAGTTGCCGGGGGGGGGGGGGGGGGGGCTATCAACTACCAAAATTCCTTGCAATTGACAAGCAAAAAAAAGTTCATCAGACATTATTATTAAGGGGGCACAAGCATATATTAGGTATGTTTTCTATAGTATTCTATATATAACGGCAAAATTATAGAGGGCAACCCCCCCACCCCCACCCCCCCAGGTTCCTACGGTCATGTTAGTGAGATGTCTAACAAAATTTTAGTTACATGTATATATGTTTATTTGAATGCCCTTATATTGTATAAAAATGTCTGAGTATCTCGTTTAATAATTCTCCTTAGATTGTTTCGGTGTAACATAATTATGGAATATAATGGATACTTGGGAAATAGCAAATTTATGGTTCCCCTCGGCAGGAAACTATTTCCCTCGATCGGCTGCTTCGCCCCCTCAGGAAATAATGAAAAAATAGGAAATATGGGGAACCATAAATTTGCTATTTCCCTCATACCCATTTCCATAACTGTATAATATATAAGGATATCCGATCCTCAGCCAGGAAGGACAACTATTAAATTTATTATTTTATTTAAAAAGTCTCAAAATGAAGCTTGAAACTGAGATCTTTTCGTGCAACAATTTTCATTTTATGCATCTCAATATGATTCAATGCTCTTTGAAGTCTAAGAAACGGTCTTGTAAAAAGTTGACATTTGTACCCCTTAAAAGAAAAAAATAAATAAATTCATATTTAGAGAAATTTCCTTTAATCTAGCATTAGATATCAATGCTTATTAGGATGATATGAAATTAGACTTGATCTGTGATTTCTAGCAATGATAGCAGAATCTTTTTACACAATGTATTATATAACAATTGAAGTAAATAGAAGAACTTAAATATTGCATAAGCATAAAAAAGATGCAATTTCCTCCAAATGCCTGGATACCTATATTTTTTATCCTAAAATACATTTATTGATCAATTTTCAATTAGAAAATGCATATCTGTTGTTTTAATTCGCATTGCCTGAAAATATATTTGAGATTTGATAATTTTCCCTATATAATATGATTAACTATAATGAAAAACTTTGAAGAAATTCCATGACTAAATTCACGTTACCCTGTGAATCAGAGACATTTTTGTGAGCATTTTCAATGACTTGAAAGGTGATTTTCAGAACCTGAGGATCGGACTACCTTAAGGTCAAGATCTAGTAAATGAAAGGAGATTTCTCAAATTTCATAAATAAATTCCTTAATTTAATGATGCTTTATAACTAAAGCTTGATCAAATAAGGTGTATCGGGACATAATTGTAGCTAAACAAGATGAAAAATCATACTCTGAACTGTCATCATGAATATGGGATTTTTTTTTCCATATCAGACAAAGGAAATGTATCCATATTGCCTACAGTTTCTCAGAAATTGATATTAATATATATGTTCTAAGCCTCTTCCATAAAGTAATATTAAATTAAAATTAAAAAAGTTAAATACATGTGTATAGGTATTGGTATTACTTTTATTTATTTATATAAAGACCTATTCACCGGAGGGTCAGTGCACGTGCAGCAGCGAACGACACCTCAAATGGTTGCAACGTTTGGAGTAAGCAATGTATCTGAGCAGTAAACGACGGTAAATGATGTCTTACACACTACGAAAGAAAACACGGAAGTTATACATGTATGTGTGTCAGTTTTCTTATTTATTATATTTCGAACTATATAATAAAACAGTTATGGAATCTTTCGGTGGTAAATACGGTTTGATATTCACCAGGAAAATATCAATATTGACCTTGACTTCGTCTCTGTTAAAATTGATATTTTTCTGGTGAATATCAAACCATATTCACCATTGAAAGACTGCATAAATATATCTAAAATCCAGACGTGTTCTTATTTTTACGCATTTATGTGTAGATTTTAAGAGTTTAAGAGACTCATTTTCTTTTCACATATACAATCTTATATTTGTGGAGTTTTTTTAACAAACGATTCAACAATTCCTTGAAAATTTGCGTCTGATTGATATTACTAGTTTACAAACTAAACTGTCATTCAGGCTCATGAGAAGCAATAGACTACATACATGTACAAGCACACTAAAAAAATCTTAATGATAAATCACGACTGTGTTCCCGCAAGAAATAATATGTACATGTAGGAAGGAGAGGACTAAATATAGACTGAGCCAGCTGCCCAATCCCCCTGATTTCTGTGAATAAAGTATTGTTTAAATTTGAATTAAGAATAATATGTCTAAGAAGACACTTTTTTATTGCTTGTCATGGAAATTTCTGTCCAGTTGCACCCATCCCCACCTCCCACCCCCGGTAAAAAAAAAACATGAAATGTCTTCCACTGAGACTAAATTTAAAAGAGAAATATGAGTTTAATGTCATTAAATTTATCTTCTCTTAAGCTTGTTTGAAATTAGTATTTTCATAATTATGTGTTCTGATGAATGATATAAGCCGTATCCATTTCTTTTATAGGTATATGTAAATAGTACAGAATACAAAGATAATCAAGATCAACTCAGCGAATGGGTTGTAAAATAGCGTCAAATGAAATGATAATGAAATAGAATAAGAGAGCACAAACATGTATCTGATACAGTCAATTAATTTAATTAACCCAGTGTTTTGCTAGTATTTTTCATTACATTTTTCTATTCTTTATATTTTATAATGATAAAAAATCGCGCATAATTCGAAGCTAGTTTTTAACTTTGTTTTTGCATGCATACGTGTTGAATTAATTGTCGTAGATTTCCATTTCCAATAATCCTGTAACACATTGTAAGAAATCTTTCTACAAGGTATCATGTCACAATTGCACCCACACATCTTATAAGTACAGCTAGAAACCTCTTTTTTGACTGCCTTTTATGTTCTTCTGTGTTATATAAGACAATGTTTTCATATAACGTAAGTAAAAATGACTCCACTTTAAAAAACAAAACAAAACAACAACAACCAAATTAAAAATAATAATAATTAACGTTCACCTAAAGTAACTACGATAGTCGTCCCATATAAATGCGAACTTTTTTATCATTTCATACCTGACAAAAATTATTCATCATTTTTAAAGGGTGTAAACTTACTGATATCAGTGGTCGACGCAATTAAAAAAATAGCATTGTCATCGATGTTTCGTTTAGTACCCAATTTGTACGAAAATATAATGTGACAAGATTTACATCGATAAAACTCTATATAATCTGCAGTACGAAAATGTGGACATTAATATATATCATTATAAAAAGCAATTTTATGACGTTATAAATGCACAAACACTTATATAGGTAAAAGCGACGTACAAAATACGGAATATGACCTCTGTCTACACGGATAAAGGGGATGTAAAAAGGGATGAAACGATGGAAAGACACAATTTAATGAATACAGCAAAAATGGCTTCAGTATATTTCTGTACTTTACAAAAATGAAGAAAATTATTGAATATGCAGTACATATGTGTCCAAGATAAGGAAGTAATATTACAGCTATATATGGCGTACCTGAGCTAAAAAATAAAAAAAAAATATGAGATTAATTGAGTGGAAATATACATGATATACTTGAGTGGAAATATACATGATATATGTAATGTACGTTCAAATTAAAATTTTCACCGATTTTGAACTTGAATAACATCATGTTTCCACATGCAGTGAAATTGACTTTAAACTATGTCTGTTATTTAAATGCGGAGTCGGTAAATAAATCGGTTATAAATTTCTATTATATTTGAAACGGTGTTGATTTAAATTGTGCAATTTACAGGAAAGTCCTATCTTTATATAAAGTAATAAAACAAATAGAAATATCTTTTTAATTGTAGTTAGTCTTAACATATAAAACAACGCAATATATGTCTTTAATCAAATTATGATGAATATATTTTTAAATCAATTTTGTCATTGTTATATATACCAATAGTACCAATCAGGCCCAATCTGGCACCAAAACAGTCCCTGAGTCTGCTTTGGAACTACTTTCTCAAAATTTGGACTGCTCTGGAACCTCTGGGACTGTTGTGGGACTGCTCTGGGACCGCTGTGGGACTGCTTTGGGGCCGCTGTGGGACTGCTCTGGGACTGTTGTGGGACTGCTCTGAGACTGTTGTGGGACTGCTCTGAGACTGTTGTGGGACTGTTCTGGGACCGCTGCGGGACTGCTCTGGGACTGTTGTGGGACTGCTCTGAGACTGTTGTGGGACTGTTCTGGGACCGCTGCGGGACTGCTCTGGGACTGTTGTGGGACTGCTCTGGAGCCGTTGTGGGACTGCTCTGGGACCGCTGTACATGTAGGTCTGCTGTGGGACTGCTCTGGGACCGATGTGGGACTGCTCTTGGACCGCTGTGGGACTG